GCAATCAAAACGCCGTTGATGATTCTTGTTTGCTATGCGCTGCAGCGTTGCCGGTACGAAACGCTCGTGCACATGCATACCCACCTCTATCTGGTACAGCGTGAGCGAGTCAACAGTCAACTCTTGCGCGCAAATAAGGGCAAACGCGCTTTTGACCTTGCAAAAATCTGCGGAACATGAATTTGACACAAATGCCTATATGTCCCAACCCTGAACAAGCTCCCTCTGCGACAATGTTGCCATGACATGGACGGCGGCGGTCAAGACGGAGGGCTCAGTGAGTGCCGTCATCAACAGCGTTCGAGTAAACACCGTTGACAACCCGGTGCAGTACTTGAAGATGGGGGTTCCCGCTCTTCTGTACACTATTCAGGTGAGGGTAATGATGAATATGTCGCCACGTGATGTCTACCTCGATGACGGGAGAAGAAACGATACGTTGAACGGATATAAATCTGAAATATTCGATCGATGTCCGTCCCCTTTCGCGCCAGCCTGTGGCTGGCACTCCCGCAGCGGTGCAGAGAGGATGTACGACCTGTCGGCGTATGGCCGTGTTGTCGCTCGCGAAAAAGTCGAAATTCAAGGCCTCCAGACGGGTGATTACGATCGTTTCGTAGGTTCGCCATCTCACCTGTCGACTTGAACTCCCACGTCGAAGTTGTGGAGAAGGGTAGGCTTCGTTCGCCCTCGTGGCCGCTTGGTCGGGCAGGCACAGCCTTATATCAAGCATTGTTTCGCCCCTTCCGCCCTGTGTACCGGCACGCCGGTGCAGAATAACCTCGCTTACGTGGCAACGAACAGCCTGGATGGGCCCACCTACCAGATCATCTGCCAGAGCAAGATCCCCATCACGGCCCTGTTGTCCGTTATCATCCTTGGAAAATCTTTGTCCAGCAGGCAATGGGTATCGCTAGCAGTTCTCACGTGTGGAGTGGGTTTGGTTCAGACATCTGGGTCTGATTCGGCCGACAAGGTACGCGATGAGGGGTACTGTATGCCGCAGACGTGGTGCCTGTGAGGCCTTGGCGTATAGTGGTATGTATGTAAGAAACGTTCTTTGCTGCTGGATTGCAGAGGAAATGCGCATCGGACCTGGCGAAAGTGATACCGGCAGTATCTGGATTCAGGAAAGATCAGCTTGAGGCAAAACATTCCTGCGGAGCAGGTGTCCAGCAAGCGCTCTGCCGAGATGACGCAGGTTTGGTTCATGCTCGACCCTTGCAATGACGCCGTGTGTGTTGTCGGTGTTTACGTTTCCCAGGCTCAGGCCAGCAACGCGACTACGTCGAATTCCTTGATTGGGTTTGCCAGCGCGGTGATGATCTGCGTTTGCTCAGGCCTAGCCGGAGTTTTCTTCGAGCTCATGATCAAGGTAAAGGGCGCGGGTTGTATGAGCCCCAAAATCCTCTGGTTGTTTCGTTGTCCCCCTCCCGTCCATCTTGCTGGGCCTCGCGGCCCTAAACGCTTTGTGTCCTCCTTGTAAGCTTTCCGCGTGCCAATGCCCCGCGGTTTTACGAGACACTGTCGGTAGTCCTCAAAGTCAGTGGGCGGTCACTGCAGACTTTAGAGTGGCTCGCAAGTCTTCTTACCGGGAAAACTAACGAGACGAGTGAAATCAACCGATCGCTGACATTTCCGACTTCCCTACATTCGCCAACGCACGCTTTTCTCGTTGCGTTGAGGTATCGTTGGGGTCTCATGATGTTTTATCGGAACGTTCTTCACATAGCTGCGGGTTTGGATCGTTCTTCCCGGAGCTTGGACCCCATAACTATATCCCCGCATCACTGTGCTGCCTGAACCCTTAGGCTCCCGTGCTTACACTGCCCGCCCAAAACGCTACTCCTATTGTGCACGGTAATGTGTAGCTCCGACCTTAACGAAGTCGTTGCTGGCTCCGCCAAGATACAAGGGTCACATCCTCTAAAAACCGCTCAGCACCCGTACCTATTCTTTCGTGACGCACATGCTGGCTCGCTCACTGCTTAGCTCCATGCCCCTTCGTTGTCGTGGGGCTTTTGTGCCAGACGGGGGGCTCGAACAAGGAGGGTCCCGCCGCGTCTCTGTGGATGCGGAACATCCAGCTCGGGTCTTTCAGTTTGTTGCTCGGCGTCCTGGCCGTGGTGGCCAAAAACAGAGAGGAGGTCATGGCTCGCGGGTTCTTCTCGGGGTACAGCCCCATGGTGTGGCTGTGCATATCGTTACACTCGCTGGGGGGTCTTGCGGTGGCCATGGTCGTCAAGTACGCGGACAACGTGGTGAGGCTCGAAGCGAAGTGGTACGGCAGCAGTGCTGTACCGCAGCGATTGGGCGCGCCAGAATGGCATTATGGAGTAGACTTCTTTGGAGTCTCGAGCACGTGGCAGGGGCCCTGAGAAGGAGAGAGCGCCCCCTATCCACCTCACGGAGGGCAGTAGGCATTGGGAGTCCGTGCGCGGGCGAGCCGAACTGTGCACCTCCAGTGATGAGTTTCAGCCGAGACGGTTTGCTGCGTTTTTAGATTATGGTCGCATGGCATGTAGCTGTCGACTCGTTCTCCAAGGCATGCCTACTTGTGTGTCTGGGTATTGTTTGCTCTCCCCCCCCCCCTCCCTAACATTCACAGGTGAAGTGCTTTGCCACGAGCATCTCCATCGTCCTCTCCTGCTTCCTATCGATCGCCTTGCTCGGCATGAAGGTGTCGCAGGGTTTCGCCGTGGGGGCGCTGCTGGTGAGAGCCTGCATGGCTTGTCGCTATTTGTTGTGTTGCTTGCCGCGCCGCACCACGTCTGACAAGTTCTTCTTGAACGCTCAGATGCAGGCGGTACCATTGACTTGTCGTGGAATAAACACGGTTCAGCGCTGCGGCGACACAACACTGTTGTCCAGATAGTTGCAGCATTTCTAGTGGTGAATTTTGCAACCTTCGAGTTGTAGCGCCATTGCTTCCTGTGTCGTGTCCTTTTTTTATTCGTGTCTTTGTCGGCATGACATGTCGGTCGTTCGACCCCAGCACCCTGGCATCGCTAGTTAGTTTGGATATGCTTCGATTGCTAGAGCGATTGCAAGTGCAGGGGGCAGATCGTAGGATTCGCAAGCTTTCATACGAATGCGTGCAGGTAGCCTGGCGAGCGACCTTTGCGGTCGCAGATAAAGACATTGCTCAGCTGGTGTTGCCCCCACCCCGTGCGAACGGATATCTACTTGTTGTCAAGGTCGTGTCGGCGACCTACGGGTACAACACCAAGCCTGCGGAGCCCAAGACGCAAGCAGGACCAGCGCTCGACCACCTGATGCCCAAAGAAAGCGTATGACGCACGCAACACTCGAGAGACATTTATCACGTGTCGAGGGCAACATCGGCCCGTCCGTGTTGTCTGCGGTGTGCTTCCAATGGTTTCCTGCCGAATTACGGAGCGGCAAACAAGCAAGCTCGTGTCTATGGCGTGCGTGTCAAATCACCCCTGTTTTGGTACAGTACTGATGGTCACAGGTACTTGCAGTGTGGACAATCTTGTCAGTGTAACTTGTTTGCCTCAGAGGGCGCGATTGCGCCAGAGGGAGTGCATGCGCGCGCTGCAGACCGCACCACCACTGAAGGACCCGGAAATTGAGACCGCAGGCTCGAGAGAATACAGTGGAAAGACCGTGTCCATGAGAACATGTGCTCACTTAAGAATCCTGCACGAAAGCCCGTAAGTTTGTGTTACCCACACAGAGGAACTTGGAACTGAGCCTTTGGGCAAAATGAGAGGTTCTATAGCGGTGGCGCGCTGTGTGAAAGGAAGAAGGCGGCCACATTTGCGTGTGTTAGGGTAGAGGTGATGCAGCGGGTGAGGCTCGGCGTCTCACTTGGTGGGTCTTGCCACTACAATGAGTGGAGGGGACATCTGGTGCTAGTTGGCCGGCATCGTTGCGTGAGTTGACCAGAAGCAGAGAACAGAACAGCAGAGAATAGAAACCTGTGGAAATTTCGCACGGCCAACATTCCCGAAGCTTAGTTGACGGCTTGTCGACGAGCTAGTGGTGCGTAGAGTTGTTGCGTGCCGCATGGTGCGGAGTAGATGCAACGCTGAAAGCTACTTACGCGGCAGATTTTTCTTCGTCGGATCTTGACATACCGCTTTTTTTATTGGCCTGCCGCCGATCTGCGGCGGGGGGAGACGCGGTATGCGTTATATACATGCCCTCCATGTATCGCGGCCTTGACTGTGATCGGCCTTTGGCTCAATTGTTGTTGAGTCCAATGGATGTGTGGACGACGAGCGAGATGCAGAGGTTTTGAGAAACCGTGCACCAAGGTTCAGTTTCCCCGCACATCAGATCGCTCGTGGTAGCACGAATCCAGGATCCATTTAACCTTTGCTTCCTCTACGGGTCTCATTGCTCCCGTGTTACGTTTCGTTTCTCTCTCGCTCTTCCGACCCTCTTAACCATCAGTCACTCAGCCAGACTAACTCCCCCTCGAGGCGGAGGTAGGGGGGGGGGGGGGG